CTGGATGTCAAGACTATCACTTCATGAAAAAAAATTGGTTTGAGGGGTGGGTGGTGCGTGTCACATGTCATGGTAAAATTTGGCTTCGTACTTTTGTCACAAGAATTTCGGTAGGAGGTCGAGGTAATGGAAATGATTCACTATGAGGGTGATTAGACTTAGTAGGTATTTAAGAAGGAGCTTTTACATTATTTCCATTGATAAACAAGTGTGGAATGTACTGTCTGTGAGCTAAGACTGGAAGTGTGCCAACTCCAGGGAGGATGCTATATCCATACTCCTGCCCACTGTGACTGGCTGCACAGAATGTATTACAGAAATGTGAATATTATGAAAAAATTAAAATGACACAAATAACAGTGTTAGACTAATTATAATTATTATTGTTATTGCACTTAGTTATGGACTACTTGCTGGGACTATATGAAGTCTCTGCAAGGAAAATAATATTACCATCTGGATAATGCAAATCAAATAACCAATATACACTGTGGAAGATGGCAAAAGAGAGTGGAAGAAGAGTGATGGCAGTGAAGCATCCTTTTTTTTTTTTTTTTTTTTTTTTTAATGTGTGCATGCATATGAGAGTGTGAGAGAGAGAGTGTGTGTGTGTGTGTGTGTGTGTGTGTGTGTGTGTGTGTGTGTGTGTGTGTGTGTGTGTGTGTGTGTGTGTGTGTGTGTGTGTGTGTGTGTGTTTCTTACCTAGTTGTTACAGTACAGAAGAAGAGCTAAGCTCAGATGGTCCCATCTGTTGTATAACTTGTTAAATGGATGCACATTTTGGCACACAATGTTATTGGGAAGATAGTTCTGTGTTTCAATAGTCCTGTTTTGGAAACAAATTTTTGACATCTTTCTCTCTTGTTTTTAGAGTGTGTTAAACTGAAGACACTATACTACATGAGATGTACATTTACTATATTGCTAACAATATCTCTCATCCCCTATCCCTCTCCTCAACAACTCTTTTTATATCCTTATTAACCCAATGTCAGCAGGTGTATGTGCTGTTCCCCTTAGATTTTTGAGAGTTTGGTTACATACAAATGTCTCCACATGTGCTCAGCCATCAAGGAGTCTTATCAGTCGGCCCTAGTGACTGATCCTGATTTCCCCATTTCTTGAATTGGCGGGAAAAAAATAGTATTAATATTGACATTGGTATTATTCTTATTGATATTATGATTATTAAATTGTTATTAAAGTATTAATAATATCAAGGACAATAAAATAATAGAAATAAAGCTTTCAAAATATCAAGGAAAAGGATGAATGGGTGAAATTGGTAAGACTGATAGATGACTCCTCGGTGACTAAGCACTTGTAGAGCCATCTGTGTGTAAAGACAATAAACTTTTATTATAGTGGACATGGCAGTGTAGTCTTGTCACCCATGCTAATTGAGTTAATACTGATGAAAATAGGAGATTTTTTATATAAAGAACTAATATAGTCAGTATATATATGTTTTGTTGTCTTGGGCATGTGTCATTTATTATTCCAGTGATGTTTTACTTTAATCTAGAGAACCAAAATGATTACTAAATAGATCAATGGTTCCCAACCATTTTTTCAGACCAGTCATACACCTCTAGACATGACCCCAGTTATTACTACAATCTATAAAAGTTTATAATATTCAATTGATATATATATATATAATTTGCTGTAAAAAGATCAACAATTACGGTTATAGTTTCTTTAGTTCGAGTTTCATCAGAATGCAATGGATTAACACTGGATGTAGGTAGGCGGAGACACGTCTGATACAGGACTAGTGGTTAGGAGTACTTCATTTTATATTGATGTGTAATAATCAAGCAAAATTTACCCATTGGCCCTCATGTGTCTACATATATATTGAAAACCTCTCAAAATGGAGAAGTGACCACGTGTTACATGTGGTGAGGAAGAATATATGTATGCTTTCACAACTTTTAACATCTAATTAACACATGTAATTCTTAATTTCAGGATGTGAATATTATTGAGGCCTTTGAGTATGAGCCCAACGAGTTTTGGGTGATCAGAACAAGTGTGGTGGAAGCTGGCTCCTACCAGATCTCAATGTCTTTCTCGGGCTCTTTAAAGACAGGCCTTGTTGGTTTCTACTATTCTGATTACACGGATGAAGAAGGAGTTCAGAGGTGAGGAGAGCTTTTAATTTTTTTTATATAAGATTGAGATTTGGAGAATAGGAGAATGGGAAATTGGTGCTGTCTTCATGGACTGGTCATTTTTTTAAGGTGATGACCAGAGTTGGGAAACAGTTTTCATTTTTAGCCAAAGCAAATAGCATCTTTGGGTAAATATGAATTTAATCTGATAGGTAGTCTTGACAACAATATTTTCTCTCTCTCTCTCTCTCTCTCTCTCTCTCTCTCTCTCTCTCTCTCTCTCTCTCTCTCTCTCTCTCTCTCTCTCTTTTTCTCTTTTTCTCTTTTTCTCTTTTTCTCTTTTTCTCTTTTTCTCTTTTACTCTCTCTCTCTTTTACTCTCTCTCTCTTTTACTCTCTCTCTCTTTTACTCTCTCTCTCTCTTTTACTCTCTCTCTCTCTCTCTCTCTCTCTCTCTCTCTCTCTCTCTCTCTCTCTCTCTCTCTCTCTCTCTCTCTCTCTTTCTTTCTCAATCTCCCTCCCTACCTCCCTCCCCTCCATCCTTACCCTCATCCTCATCCTCCCTCCCACCCATCCTCATCCTCACTCTTCTCCTTCTCTTCCTCACCCTTACCCTCCCAATCCCTCCTTCTATCTTTCCCTCCCTTCTCTCAAGAGAGGCTGACATAAAAACACACACACGGAGGCTGACATAAAAACACACACACGGACGCACTCTCTCTCTCTCTCACACACATGGACGCACTCTCTCTCTCTCTCACACACACACGCACGCACACCCACACCCACACGCACGCACACACACACACACACACACACACACACACACACACACACACACACACACACACACACACACACACACACACACACACACAGAATTGACGGATCAATTAATATCGTGGTTTACAGAAATACCGTGGCCATTTTCCAATACACTCTTAGTACACCTAAGATTATGGAAAGTGGATTAGGCAGACACCATTTGATGAAGTCATGTTTGATTGGCAACACTGATGTCCATTCAGAATTGCCAGAAATTTTACTGCTTTTTCTTTATGTAAGACTCTTACAACAAGGGCTTAGTGGAAACAGTCATGCTACAATTCAATGAATATTCTAGGTTTTATGAAGAATTTACATTTTGGATGTCAAATGATATCTGTGTCATTGGGGGTCTTAGAAGGTGTGATCATCAAATGATGTCTGTATCATTGAAAGGGTTGATATTATTAATATATATATTTTATTGAAACATGGTTTGGTGGCCTGTTGAAAATAAGAATATATAAACAGGTTTCTTAAAACTCTTCCACAGAGGCCTAGCAACTACAAAATTTGAGCCAACATATGCTCGCCGTGCCTTCCCATGCTTTGATGAGCCAACCTTCAAGTCCACTTACACAGTCACTATAGTGAGACCCTCAGAGCGATATATTGCTCTTTCAAACATGCCTATTAAGGTGAGTTTTTATTTTTTGTATGGGATTTTATACATTAATTAATTTTTGATATTGGCAACACTGATGTCCATTCAGAATTGCCAGAAATTTTACTGCTTTTTCTTTATGTAAGACTCTTACAACAAGGGCTTAGTGGAAACAGTCATGCTACAATTCAATGAATATTCTAGGTTTTATGAAGAATTTACATTTTGGATGTCAAATGATATCTGTATCATTGGGGGTCTTAGAAGGTGTGATCATCAAATGATGTCTGTATCATTGAAAGGGTTGATATTATTAATATATATATTTTATTGAAACATGGTTTGGTGGCCTGTTGAAAATAAGAATATATAAACAGGTTTCTTAAAACTCTTCCACAGAGGCCTAGCAACTACAAAATTTGAGCCAACATATGCTCGCCGTGCCTTCCCATGCTTTGATGAGCCAACCTTCAAGTCCACTTACACAGTCACTATAGTGAGACCCTCAGAGCGATATATTGCTCTTTCAAACATGCCTATTAAGGTGAGTTTTTATTTTTTGTATGGGATTTTATACATAATTGTTTTGAATTTTTTGTATTCATTTTGTACATTTTTGTGTAGCATCAGGCTGATTATATATTGAATTATTTTCTTTTGAAGAAATTTTTTGTAAATTTATCTTTGGAGTCATGGCATTAATAATTCATGAATTCTTACTCTACAGAATGAAGTGGCTGGACAACCTTCTGAATCCTTGACAGAAGTTACATTTGATAAATCTGTTCCGATGGTTACGTACCTTGTTTGTTTCATTGTGTGTGACTTCACCTATAAAGAGGTAAGTAAGTCCTTTAATGGATTTTACTTTTATCATTAACATTTTTCCCCATTCATTTCATTATTAGAACTACTTGACTCAATTTACCCTGTGTTCTCATCTCTGCAGACAATCTTGTCAAGCGGGATGCCCTTCCGTGTGTATGCTCCAAAAGGCAGAATAGAAAACAGTGAATATGCTCTTGATATTGGAGCCAAAATTTTACAGATGTATGAAGTCATGTTTGATCTGCTCTTTCCTCTTCCCAAAAGTGGTAAGCATCTGATCTCTATTAAAGTTATGTGTGTGACATTGAGTTGTTGAATTATTTTAAAAGTATGTCGTTGTTAGATGGTGAGATCAAAAACAACTCTTGTATAGATAATAACAATACCTGTAGATTGTTAAGATTATGAATAGAGAATTATATAACTATGACACATAAAGTATAATTTTAATAATTTTTCTGATTATACTAATTGACTTGGAATCCTTTTACTTATTTCAGATATGGCAGCCATTCCTGATTATTCCTCAGGTGCCACAGAGCACTGGGGTATCATAACATTTAGGGAAACAAGCATTTTTTATAACCAGAACCAGAGTTCAGCTGTTAACAAACAGAGAGTGGCTTC